ATTTTTTAGACATCATGTCATGTATAACACATTTACAGTGTTTGTATTTTAAGAAATAAGGACTAATACGGATATTATTGACTGTGAGTTTTTGTGTTGTAAGTTTACCGCCATGCATGCAAGAAAATTTGTCAAGAAAGTCAACCGCCAAGGACTATGATTGTTGACCTCCGTCTCTGCGCGTATGTATCGCTTCTCTCAATCTATCGGTCTAAAACTAATGAAGGGAAAACCCTAATTCTCCACGGTTTCAAATCTTCAATCAATCTCGCATCTTTGTCACATCAAATTCTTTAGGCTTCATCTGGTACCTGCACAGAGGACAAGTCTCCTTCCTTCTCAGCCACTCGATAATACAGAGCGGATGAAAAAAGTGCTTGCATCCCATCGCTCTCGCTTCTTCCCCCTTCTTCATCTCATCCTGACACACCGCGCACACCACCGCTTCTTCCTCCACCACCGTCGCCAGCGACCCGCTGTACGCCGGCTCGATAGTGTCCGCCAGAATCCTTGCGAGCTCGACCATCACTTCCATCTCCACCTCCAGTCGAACCTCACAGAAGTCACGATTCGTGGTCTCCGCGCGCAACCTGGCTAGCCTGTATGTCATCATGTCGATCTTCACTAGTTCCATCTCGTGATCGTCGAGCTTCCCGCTGAAAGTCCGGGGATCGTAGGAGCCGTCGTAGGTGGAGTATTTGCTCCAGTTGACGCTCCGATCGAGCCAGTCCGCCTTCAACCTCGCTATATCGGAAGCCTCCATAACTTTACTGATCGGAAAAATTCAAAATCGAAATTACTGTGTTTCGTTTTCTTCTCTTCTCTTCTCTTCTCTGCAACTCTTTGTTTTGCGAAAACCAGAGATGATTATATAGGTTTGATCAAGTTTGGGCGATTTTAAGTGAGAGGTCATGGGATTCCGACTTCGAGAAGGATGTGGTGTGGAAATTTCCATGGCGGTTGGTGGCTCATTTGACTCGGTCAACAAGCCTGGTGAAACTATCACCGCCCACCGGATACGTGGAAAGAAGTAATACTGTAATAATAATACTCGCGCTTAATCCCACGTGATCTAAAGTTTATGTATATATAGTAATTAAATATTATTGAAAATTTTAATTTACAATTAGACTTTTGTTTGACATAAGATTTATATATATATATATATACTAAATTATATTAAAAATTATAATTTTTATTTCAACAATATTGATAATAAATAAATTAATCTAATTAAATTATTACAAAATACAACCCAAATAATATCTCATAATTTTATTTATTAGATTAAAAAAAATTTGTGTATATCATGTGAGATGTCGAAGTTTGATTTATCATTAATACGAGAAAAAAAAAACATAATATTTTAGCTTCAAGAGATTTGTTATTGACTCAATTCAATTATTACGATAAGATCTTCATAAAAACGAATAGTTCAAAAATTTTGTTAAGATTTTGAAGATTTTATTTGTTTCACGTGAGATGTTATATTACGTACAAATCATTAATTATTTATATTAAAAAATAAAAATAATTTTTTTTCAATTGAGACAAAAGTTAAACATATAACATTCTAATGTTTCAAGTAACGAAATAAATAAGAGTATTATTACTGTAGGTCCGGACCAGCAATATTAATCATGAAAATTATTATTTTTATTGCTAGATTGTAAATTTTAAAAATTAATATTATTTAAATATTAAAATTTAATGAATGAAATATTAATATTAAGTTTAGTATTATAATTTTAAATATATTATTTCGATATGAAAAAAAAAATAAACCCTTAAGCTCATTTAAAAAATAACTTATTTAAGTTTATTGACTCAAAAATGCTATCAATGTTATAAATATATATATATAATTATTCATGAAAATTAAAGCGTAATTTGTGACTCTCAATTATCTACTGATTATTTGGTCAATACTTACATTAATTTATATAAATACGTTGGTTTCATTTAGATTATGCATGTTATGCGTGTTTTTATTATAATTTTTCAAATGTATAACTTGTGAATGAAAAATTTAGGTATTGGATGAAATTCTTTAGACCTAAAATTAAGTCACCGTCTCTTTCTAGTGAGGGTTCCACCACTCAAGAAGTTAATGAAGCTAAGAAGGAAAGTAAAATGCATATGTGGTCATCACTTTGAAACATCACAAATCTATCTCAATCTTCCAAAGTTGACAACTTATCTTTCAGGAAAATTGGCTTTGGGTTTGGTCTTCTCATTAATGGAAAAAGGTTTGGGCAACAACATAGCTTCTAGTTGATTAGGATTTGAGTATTTCACGCAAGAACTCTCAAATTGGAAAATTTATAAAATTAATTTAAAATTTTCATTTTAATTTTTTAAGTATTTTATATTGTTCTTAAGTATAATTTAGTTGTAACTAGCAGAAAGAAAAATTTCTAATCCGAATTTGTCTATAGTTGAATTTAGAATGAATAATTAGTTTGGCTTTAGATTCATCTTTGTTTAGTTGTCTTAAAGTAGCATTTTGGTTTGGGTTGTTTGGAACCTAATGGGTTGGCTAAGTTACATAATTTTCTTTAATAATAAAAATACATACATATAGCATATATATTTTTTTTTAAAAAAAATCCTAGAATTATTTAATTTTATAAATTAAATTCTTATTATAAATTTATCACTAACGTAGTGTTCTAATGATTAAAATCATAATATTTAATTGAAAATCACAAATTTAAACATTATTAAAAGTATAATGTTTTCACTCTATAAGTATACTATTGTGGTCAGATTGTGACTGATTTAATTTTTATAATTTTAAAATTTAATTTATCAGTCTACAACACGATAATCAAATTAAATATCGTCTAATAAAGTATTATGATTTTGAGAAAAAAAAAACATTTTATAGCGATTACATTTTTTTAACTAAGATAGTTATATAATCAGAATAAGTATACGAATATTTTGATGGATAACATTTATTGCGAGTTTGAGGTTACATAAAATACATTATTATTTAAGTGGTGACCCATTAGTTGATAAATGGAGAGGGTTTGGCACATGTGATGGTGGTTCAAAGGTTGGGCAAGGTGGGTTCCTACAAAACGTACATTTAGATCATATGATTTGCAATTTTGTGTGGGGAGGGGGACCAGAATTAGGGTTTTGCTTTTGCCCAAAAACAAAAAGTGCACCCCACCCCATCCCATCCCATCAATTGGGGCTGGAAAGACTATTTTAAAGTGCCCTCTTCTCACCTTCGTTTTCATACTTTTGCGCATGGTTACTTCTCCATCATATCTCACACTTCCACTTTTTAATCATTAAATTTCGATATTAACTCGAAAAAAAAAAAAATGAATAGATGAAATTCTACGAGATTATATCAAATATAATTGGCTATGAAATTCCTTTTAAATATATAAAATAATAATTTTAATCTAATTTTTATTAAATTATTATAACATAATGTACTTTTTTTAAATGTACGTAACAAAAAAATTTAATCAAATTTTAATTAAATTATTAAAGGATGTTCATTTCGGCCAAAAACATAATAAATTTCTTTGAGATTTAACATAATTTGATCGTTATAATACTGTTAACACACTTGTAAACTTAGTTTTTGATTTTAATGTTTAAATATTATAAGATGATTATTGTTGATTCATATTCATCTACAAAAGAGTGAGTTACACGTCTTTATTTAAATTTAAATTCGTAATTTTTAAATAAAACACGTAAATTTTAATTATTAAAATATTATGTTATAAACAATACCAAAAAAAAAAAAAAAGGAAGAAATAAACCAAATGGGCCCTTAGGATTTTTAACAGTTCACAATTTCACAAATACTACATTAGTTCTTTGTCACGTAATTTGATTTAACTGGCCAACTCTCATCATTATTCCGTTATCTGGCACACAAATTATTCTCCTTTTCACTAGCCATAATCTTACCCACATAAGATCCCTACGTATAAATAATATTCATGCACCATATATTTAAAAGATTGATTACTTATTAGAAATTAAAATAAAAATAACGTGTAATTAGTGACTTGATCCAATAAAATCAATTTTTTTTTTAAAATTGTTTAACATAATTTTGTATTTGAATTATATCTGACATTAATAAAAAAAATACAACATTTTATTTATAAATATAATAAGTAATTTTTTTATTGAAATTCTCAATAAAATTTTATAAAATAATAAATAATAAAAAAATGTAGGTGAATTAATAAAAATTCAATTTCCTTGTTGTATAATTATAAATTCCAATTGGCTTAATGTATTTCTTTGCTCATTTAAGAAATGTAAATAATATGAAAAAGTATATTATTTATCGCTGTTGTGAACGAAGTCAACGGAGTTAAAATTTAACTACTTCATTTCAGTTATTTACCGGGTTTTACCTCCTTTATTTCACATTCGTCAAATAACGGAAATTCTACCGGGTAAAAAGAAAGAGAATATTGAAAAAAAAAAAAAAAAAAGAAAACAGCGCAGGAAGAACGAGTGAGAGTGTCAAAACGGTAATTATGAACAAATGCAGGGGTATTATCCTACACACCTCCGCTTTTTCTCTCTCTTTTTTTTTTTTCCTGCTCTTTATTCCACTCTTCTTCTCAGGCCACAGACGACGGCAAATTTATATAAATATTTATTTTTTTATTTTGCAATTTCAGTAGTTCTCTCTCCCTCCCTCTCTAAAAGCTCTTTCTGTTTCTCTCTCCGCTGCCAACTGATTACAAGATCGTGCTATTTTCCTGGAGTTTCTCTCACTTTCTCGCTTCATATTTTTATCCCAACCCGAACTTCGCTAGCCTAGAATTGCTTCGATCATCCAAATCAGTCGCGTTTCACTTCATTTTCCTACGATTTCTCCTCCACAAAATCCGGTAGCTACTCTTCTTGAAGTTTACTTCACTAGAGGAGCTCTTCTCGATTGAGTGAAAGCTTGAGCTGTGGGAGGGGAACAGTGTAATTGAAGTGCTGCATCCGAAGGAATTGGAGTATAACTTTGTGATCGTGATGGTAGAATTGAGGTTTCGCGGAGATTCGCGGTTGCTTCATTGCGTGGCTTTAGGGTTTAGTTGCCGTGTTAGGTTCTTGGATGAGTTAGTGAATGGAAGGTTTTGGTTTTGAGAATGGATGAGGTAAAGATTTCGTAGTTTTCAGAATTTAAGGTGGGGTTTTTGTATCTTCGTAATGTTGAGGACCGATAGGATGGCTTCGGATCTTAGCCGAA